CCCCAGAACGAAAATACGATGCCTAACACAAAATAACAAAACATGTAATATGCAATATAAACATGTAATATACACATAAAAAAAGTAATTAAAATAAATAAATAAAACAATATACATATGATGGAAAATAAATTAAAAACATTACAAAATATTAACAACCTAAAAATAAAAAAATTAATAACCTAATAAATAAATAAATAAAAAATTGGAAAAAACAAAGCAAAAAAAAAAATTACCCAAAAAAAACAAATTGGAAAAAACAAAGTAAAAAAAAAATTAAAAAATAAAACGGAAAAACAAAAACAAAAAAAAGCAAAAAAAAAATTTGAAAAAATAATTCAAAAAAAAAATAAAAGAAAATGAAAAAAAAAAATAAATTAGGGTTCCGGCGCCTGTCCCAGACGCCAGAGCCACGGTGCTGGCGCCTGGGCAGGACGCCGGTGCCACGGTGGTGGCGTGTGACGTGGACGCCGCCACCGTGGTACCGGCGCCCTGCCCAGGCGCCATCACCGTGGCAATGGCGTCTGGGATTGGCGCCGGAACCGTGGTGTCGGCGTCTGGGACAAACGCCGCCGCCCAAACACCGCCGTCCAGCCACCAGTCGCCGCCGGGCCACCACCTTTTCCGGTTTTTTTTTTTTTTTTTTTTTTAAATAAAAAAATTTAAAAAAAAAAAAACATACCTTTCCTCCTCCAAACCCCCTTGCTCCGGCCACCGGTGACGCCACTTCCTTGCCTTGCCGCCTCGACATTTTGAAAAAATATTTTCGAGAGAGAAAGTGAGACTACAAAGTTAAGAGAAGATGAGAGTGTGTTTTTTACTAGAGTAGAGAAAATATAATTTTAGTTCGAGGGCAAAAGAGTCATTTCACTTTTAATTTGTGGGCTTTATGTGGAAATTTGCGGGCGATGTTTAGCAGTTCACTTAGTTTTAGGTGCACTTTGTCAAAGAATGGGGTTTGATAACTTTGTCGGGGAATCAACCTTCACCACATGTTTGAAATGTGTGCTTTGTGAGTTTTGTCAAGCAATGAGAAAAAGAAGAAACTCATAAAGTTGAAATTTTAAAATAATACCACCAATAACCACGTATTGAACACGATATGATATGAATGTATTTAACACATGTTTAATTTATCTTATTTTTGCTTATTTAATCTACTCTAGTTTGGTTTGATTTGATTGTCAAATTTGACCAAATCTTGACCTTAAGTGTGCGCTAAAGTTGCTAATTTATAAAATTACATTCGATTTGGTTTATGGTTCAGTTTGATTTTAAACCGTATTTGTTTCACCCTTATGGCCAACCACATATATAGGTTGGTGATTAAGGATTTTGTTCTCTCCACCTGAAAAAAGGAGATATGGTCTAATCTGATTTAATAATTTGATAAAGTTTGACTGCATTTTAGGGCCTGTTCATATTTACTAAACTGAGCTGAACTGAACTTAACTGAACAGAACTGAACTGATTGGAGCTGAACTGAACTGAATTGAACTGAAAAATTAAAATGCATAAAACTGAACTGAACTGAACTAAACTGAAAATAAGTAAATATGAACAGACCCTTAATCAATCAATAATCAATAATATAATACTAAAATAGACACAGGAAATGACACGTGTCAATTCCTGCTATAGTTTTTTCACTCCAAAAAAATCCTTCCCTTTTGCTAAAATCTTCTTTGAGAAATTTGGTATATGTAACTATCATAATATTATTTCAAATATTTTATGTGTATCTTTTATAATACTCCGTTAATTCCTTTTAGTTATTATTACTCCATTTTCATAAATATTACTCTGTAGGACAAATCTTTAATCCTATATACACCATTATTTTGTTCATTGGTTTCTCGCCTAATTCTAATACGAATCTAGTAAATAATAGGTTTGAACTTGAATTTTTTATTTTTTTTATTTATTTTTTAAATATTGTAATTGGTTTCTCGCCTAATTCTAATACGAATAGCCTATTAAAAATATGAAGGGATTTTAGCAACATACCATAACATTATAAGCACTTTTATCTATACATGTAATCATGTAAGGTAATTTGATTAAATTCTTTGTATGTGTTTTTCCAATACTTTCACATAGTATCAAAATTTAGGAAAAATATTGACTAGATACCATAATGGGGTTATCATTCTTGCCCATTAAGTGTAATACACAATTTTAAATACTTATTTGATTAATAAAAAAAAATTATACTAATTTATCATAGAATTTTTAAAACACTCAAGAGGATTAAGGGCCTGTTCTCATTGACTGAACTCAGCTGAACTGAATATTTTACAAGAAGGAAATTAGGAGCTGAACTGAACTGAACTGAACTGAGCTGAGCTGAACTGAACTGAATTCAACGTAAGAGAACAGTCCCTAATATGTAGATGTAGTTTTAATATACTCATTTGTCTAACTAACTCTTTCATTATATTTCATCTTTTATTTCATTATATACGCAAAATATGAAGATAATAAATATATTATACATGTATTTTATCTATGCTATTTTTAATACAATTTGTTTCTTTTATTGATTAAATTTAGTGAAATAACTAATCTAATACTAATCTATAAAGAAAAACATAATCAAAGTGGATCTTGTTAGGTTCGTCTCATAATGAACTTTTCAAATATGTAATTTTCACATTTCCTTGTAATACGCAATTAACTATATTTAGCAATAAGTAAATGATAATTAAAAGTTATTGTCTGAATATTTTTTATTTGATTTGATTTGGTCTGAATTTGTTAAGGAAAAAGTAATAATAAGTACTTGAAATAAGAGAACATGCCATCAACAATCAACAAAAATCATAATGTTGAATTGTCAAATTAACTATGGCAAATGTTAATTATTTAACTCAATTTTTCTTAATTTTTATTGTATACGTGTTCTTTTACATAATACTCGCATAGTCGAAGGTTTTGTTTGGTTCATTGTTAGTAAAGAAATGGAAGAGAAAGGAAAGGAGGGGAAAAGAAAAGAAGAGAAGGGAAAAGAAGAGATTTTATTTCCAATGTTTGGTTAATGAAATATAATGAAGGGAAGAAAAATGAAATATGCTTTTATTTTCTCTTTCTAGTCGAATTCCTCCAATTTTGGGAGTAAAGAAAAGCTGAAAATTTGTAAAGATGCGTTCCTTTCACTTCCTTTACTTCCTTTAGATTCTCATGTCATTTGGGTAAGTCTTGTATGTGGCTAGCCACACGGCGTGGTCACATTAGTTTACAAGAGTAAATTCCATTTTTATGTATGAGTAACCTCAAATTTTCGCAAGAGTAACCTTATATTGTCCATAAAAGTAACCCAAATTCATTATACGAGTGAATTCAAGTAATTTAGAAATAAGTAACTCCATTTGTTCATTCGGGTAACCCCTATTCTTTTATTTTGAAAAATGAAATAATTATCCCACTTATTTAAGAGAGTAACCCCTATTTCTTATTTAAGTAACTTACATACGCGTTTAAGTTAACCCCATTTGTCCCGTAAAAAAAAAAGTGGATTGCTAAACATCGCCCGCAAATCTCCACATAAAGCCCACAAAATTAGAGTGAAATGACACTTTTGCCCTCAAAGTAAAAAACACAATTTCTTCTCTCTATTCTCTACTTCCACTTTCTCTCTCTAAAAAACTTTCCGAGCGATGTCGAGGCGGCCCGGCAAGGAAGTGGCGGCACCGGCGGCGGGTGGACAGCGGTTTTCCGGCGAGAAGGTATTTTTTATTAATTTTGTTTTTAAAAAATAAAAAAAAAAAGTTCGGAGGCGGTGGCGGCGCCAAGGCCAGACGCCACCACCACGGCGGAGGCGCCTAGGCCAGACGCCGTGACGGTGGCGGCGGCGCCTAGCCCCATACGCCACCACCACGGCACCAACGTCTGGCCAATGCGCCGCCGCCGTGGTAGTGGCGTCTGGGCTAGGCGCCGCCGCCACCGTCACGGCGTCTGGGCGAGGCGCCTCGTTATATATTTTTTTTTTTTAATTTTTTTTTAAATTTGTTTTTCTTTTTTTTAATTTTAAATTTTATGTTTCTGATTTTTTTTTATTTTGTTTTAAATTTTGTTGCTTTTTTTTAAAAAAAATTTATGTTCCTCTTTTTTTTTTTTTTTAATTTTTAATTTTATGTTCTTGTTTATTGTTTTTGTTTTTTTTTTTTTGAATTTGTTTTTTTACTTAAAAAAAATTTTATGTTCCCTTTTTTTTTTATAAATTTTTTTTAAAATTTTGATGTTCTTCTTTTTTTAAGTTTTTATAATTTTATATTTTTTAAGTTTTGTGAGTTTTTTGTTTTGGTTTAAAAGATGCATTAAAAAAACTTTATTAAAAAAAATTTAATTCAAAAAAAAATTAAAACAAAATTAAACAAACGCAAACAAAAATCCATAAAAAAAAACATAATTATAAAAAACAAATCAAAAAAAAAAACAAAAACAAACAAATAAACAAAAAAAAAATTCAAAACAAAAAAAAAAAGAAAAAAAAAAGAGAAATTAAATTTAAAAAAAAAAAATTTTAAAGCAGCCCATAGTGGCGCCTGGCCAGGACGCCGGAGCCACGGTGGGGGCGCCTGGCTAGGACGCCGCCGCCATGGTGGCGGCGTCCTGGCCAGGCGCCCCGGCCGTGGCTCCGGCGTCCTGGCCACGCGCCACTCCCATGGGTGAGGCTTCCCCACCAGGCGCCTATGCCACGGTGGCGGCGTCCTGGCTAGGCGCCACAACCACGGCATGGCCTTCTCGGCTAGGCGCCAGCCACCATTTCGTCCTTACGATACGTTACGAACCTCGTTTTCCGGTGACGATGGCGACTCTCTGGTGCATATCGCCGCCGACGACGTCTCTTCGGTGATCCACATTTTTTTAGTGCGAAAAATTTGTTTTCGGTTAAAATTATAAAAAGGGCAAATTTGTCAAAAAATTATAAAATGCGGGCTTTATGTAGTAATTTGTGGGCGATGTTTAACAAATCCCATTTGCTCATCACCTAACCTCCTATCCACTTAATTAATTGTCTTGATCTGTTGATCATGTGAAGTAGCCACACGTGCCTGTATAAAACTTTGTTACTAAATTTTGCAATCAACAACAATAGTAAGGAAGAGTTCGCCAAAAAAAAAAAAAAAACTTTAGTAAGGAAGAACTTTTTTTGAAAGGTAGTAAGGAAGAACTTGAACTTAAAAAAATGGCGAAATTGAATGGTGAGGATGATAACTTCATTTGCAATATTGCTGATTCCAAGTCTCTGAAAAACAACGACTATGTTTTCGGCATCAACCCCAATCAACGCAATTCTTCCTGAACACCTGATTTTGGTTTCATTCTCCCAATTTTGCCGGTAAAAACCCTAATTCCTTTCAATTCTGTTTTAGAAATTTGTTATTCTATTATTCAAACTGATGAATTCGTAAAACCCCAATTATATTATTGCTGTTCTTCGTCCAAATTATCATACTTACTCATGTAATTATAGTTCATATATACAAGCTCAAGTTATTGCACTATGATGAGTTCAACAATCTGAAAATTCCATTAGAAACTGTTTTAAATCTTGATTTGCATTTTTAAAAGAGACAAATCCGAAATATAGATTTTGTGGGTTCTTGCAATTGCTTGGTTTGCTCGTTTTAGCAAGTTTCGACGACTCCGGGAAGTCTTAGGAGTTGTGGAATTTTCTTTATTTGCAATTCTGCAATGCATCATTGTGGATGTGGATGTGGATGATGCTTATCGGTCTGGTTACTCGTGCATTGATGATTACATGATTGGTTTTCAATTGAATCGTTCCTGCACTTATGCAATTGCAATTTGTTTAGCAATTATGATAAAAGGGCAATATCGCGTGTTTGCAAATTTTTCAGTAATTTTACTGAATTTATCTTAGTCCATTAGACTATCACTTAATGTGCGTCATCCTTCTTCAGTATAGTTGTATTATCGCTTATTGCATATGGTACAGATCGTGCTTTAAGCCTATGATTGCCTTGATTGGGGATGATGGCAACAGTTGATTCTAAACACCCAACTATGAGGTTTCTGACTTCAATGTGTTTATTATCAAATAGATATGAAAGCTAGATTGTAATTGCAATATTGGGCTGATGTGGCCCTTAATTATGCGGGTAGATTTTAGCCATGTCTTCTGTGCTTTTGAGCTTTTAATTGTTATTATGATCTTTGCATCCTCTGAACAAGCTCTTCACAGAATCACAATTATTTTTTCTTTAAGAAACAAAGTTAAGTAGCCTAATTTTTACAGTATATGTATAACTTCTCTGCTTTATCTGAAAGCTGCCGTTTACTCAGGATTCTTTTTTTCCTCTCTTCTTGGAGAAAAGGACCAACGGTGCAGCTTGTGAGTCTGTATTGGCGATATTGATTGCTCAATTTGGATCAACACGTACAAGCTTGAATTTTGAATCTGGTTGTGGCACAGCTGCACAGGCTTGGATATTGGATCTTGTGTACTCTATTTGCAGGATATTATAAGATTACTCAAGTAGTCAAGTAAGTTCATCAATTTTTTTGTTTTTTGTTTTTTTTTTTTGTTTTTTTTCCTCCTTCTAAAATATATGAAACAATTTTACAAAGTGTCAAAGTGCTTTGATTGGATTACTTGTTTGCTTATATGAGGGTATTTAGTGCTTGAATGCTTCAAATCTTTATTTTATGTATCTTAATCATAACCAGTTGAGGAAATAAGGCTTTGGTAATGTTTTATATATGTGATAATTATATAAAAGCCTCACATTCTAATTCAAGGTGCTAGCTTGGTTTAATACAAACAACTTGTTCATATTCCCCTCCTCAATATATAAACACCTCTAAGTAAAAAAAAAAAATAAACTTGTTCATATTCCTCTCCCCATTATATAAAGTATAAACAACGCCTCCAAGTAAATATTACTGAACTACTCGTACATGCTTTTGTGTATGTCTATTGAAGCTCCCAGTTTCAAGAGAACTTGTAAAGGTACCTGCCATTGTGGATTTGTGGATGGGGTAGAGACACTATGAGACAGTTGGAATACATCTAGCCATACATCCTTTGATTATAAAAGCCCTTAAAGGTCATTTTATGAAATAAGGTGTACTAAATTTAATTTATAAAACTGAAGCCATTGACAAAGAGTACTATCGTACTAATGTTCATAAGATTTTCTTTTTTTGGAAAGCAACGTACATGGTTTTCTTAAGGAGGTCAATTATGGAAATGTATCTAAATTTACAATAATGGTTAAGATTTCTTCAAATTTGATGATCCTTCCATTAGTTCATTATAAGCAATCATAGTTTAATTAAGTTTTATTTTTCCATTTTATCTTTGTCAAATAATGAAAAATTAAAGAATATATAAAGTTTTAACCTTAGTTTTTTCCACACAATCGGGGTGTTGTATCTTGCAATATACAAAAGATCATTGTCCTATTGTATCTAATAATTTACGCAAAATGAGCAAATTAATTTGTTACTAGCGAAATATGAACAAACTAATTTTGCTAATTTGCTTCATTATATATTTGCTTGCACAAAATGAGCAAATTTGTCAAGTAATGCAAAAGAACATATCAATTTGCTCATTCTTGTTCATTTGTGGAATTAAACGAATTGGACCAAGCTACAATTAATTGTATGATGAAGATGTTGCTAACTCGTTATACTACCTCCGTTTCTTATTATGTGCAATAAAGGGGTATTATTTATGATACATAATATATTCCTTTGTTGCACATAATAAGAAATGAAGGTAGTATATTTTGTTCATAATAAATTAATATAATCAAATATAGTGAATATGCGGGGAAAAAAATATTGAAAATTGGATGATCCAAATAGAAAAGTTGATTAAGTCTTAAGAGGATTATATCTATAATCCAAAGTGTTTATTTTTTAATTTTTTTAATTACAAGTCAAAAACTTTTTTTTTGCCTTCTTTTTTTGTCTTTTTTTTTGTTTTTTGTTTTTTTTTTTTTTAATCTATTGCTTTATGGAGTGACACAATGACTTTTTGCATTTTTACACTAGTCATATCTGTGTGGTTTATTGTAACTTTTTGGGTGTACCAAACACTCATTTGTGATGCATGTACGAAAAAAAGTAGAATTTAAAAAAAAAACTAAAATAACATAATTATAACAAAATTGTCAACTCTTAGAAGATTATAACACAAAAATATACGATAATATTTATATAATATATAATAAATTAAAAATATTTAATGCATTGGAACGTATTTCTTTAACGACATGAATTCCTAATTCTAAAATCAACACAAACAAACTATACCTTTTTCGTGTACTTATAAGAATATGGAGGAGAAAAAATGTACTATTGATAAAATTAGTTATAAACATCTATTGACAAAGGGAATTAGTTCCTTAATCATTTTAATAGTAGAATTTACTTAATTATAAAAGTTCCATGATTTGTTTTTCCTTGATTGTGCCTTCATAATTGAAATTCTTTAATAGATGGAAATTATTTGAATAATTAGTGCCAATTTTTACCTTGCCAAATGTGATTGATTTGTCAATGATTAGTTTCCATTTCAATTGCAATTGTAATATCAAAACATTTCTTTCCATCCATGCTGATTGATTGTTATTTTCCCCCATTGAGCTACAAAAGATATCATTGTGTCTTTGATGGACACCAATTGTCCTACCTTTCACTAATATAATAGAGATATAGAGTTTGACTAAATCTTTTCACTTATATATAATAACTAATATATATATATATATATTGATTTTACCACCACTTAACGGATTTTTGGAAGGAATCCGTTAAGTGGGGTCACGTTGCCACATGACACAATATTATTTGTTTTTTTAAAAAAAGAAAATTAAAAAACTAAATAAAAACCCCAAATTTAACCCTGCTCTAACCCTAAACCAGCCCACCATCATCACTGCCACTGCCGGCACTCCCTTCCCCACCTACCCCAACCTACGCACTAACCCGACGCACCACCCTAGCCAACCGGAAACACCTCAGTGTGCAAAACCACCCCCTTTCCCCCACCCTCGAAAGTCGAAATTGCCAAATCGACCATTCTGGGTTTCCATGGCCGATTCTGGCCATTTTGAGGGTGAAAGGGTAAAGGATTGGTGGTTTTCGGTCGAAACCGGTTTCGTTGGTGGTTGGGTGGCGTGTTTCAAGGCTTGGGTTGGGTTTCGTTGGTGGCGGCGTGTTTTAAGGTTGGCTGGGTTTCGTTGGTGACTAGAGGTGCTGAAGGTGTGGATGGGATGGGATGAGATGGGGAGAGGTGTTGCCGGCGGCGGGTGTTAGGGTTGCAGAAACTGGCTGAGATAACCTATTCTGCTCCAATTGGAATTTCTATCACTATTTACCTTTAAGTAGTTTCCTCATTTGAAATTAATGTTCACTTGCATATTATTAAGTCAATTGGTTCCAAGAATCTCCCAACGCCACAGTGAACTGAACGGCATAAAGAAAATCCACCACTCCTCAAAAAACACATAAGAAATTAGATAGGTCCTCTCAGAATGCCGAAAATGGAAATGTGTCGACCTTAATTCTAGATGAGGTTGAGAATTTAGCTGATGGGCTGGATTTTCCTTACTTAGACCCACCATTAAATCATTAATATAATCCATGGAGGAGATATAGAGGTGGAGAGTGAAAGGGGTTTGTGGGGGTGGTTGGTGTACGTGGGAGTGGTTAGTGTAGGTGGGGCCATAGCGGTGGTCTGAGTGTTGTTAGCTAGGAGATGAAGGTGTTACCTTGGAGATGGAGGAAGTTGGTGTGGTGTAGGACAACGTAATGATGTGGTATTGGATAGGGATGGGAGGTGTTGTTTATGGGATAGTGGTGTATGTTAGGAAAATGATGTGGTGAAAGATTAGGTTAACCATGGTTAGTATATTAATGAAACTAATCCATTTAACTCACATTAATGTCATAATTGGGATGAAATTATTATTTATGGTTTTGTATAAAAAATTTAAAAAAAGGGTCACCATTTTAGTGCATTAAAAGTTGAGGGCACCAACTCACCAATTCACCATTGAGAATTTCCCTTTTCTTTTGTTTTTAACGTGATTTTTACATTATATGTAATCAAATAATGCCTTATAGACTACATGTATTTCATCATTTTTGATAAATAATTAATGTTTGAAATTGTATAATTTAAAATTTTTAATATCTTTTATATGTTGGGTGAAGGGGCATGAAATTCGTTGAGAGTAAAGGGGCCATGAAATTATTTCGATAAAAAATAATACTACGTTGATCTTTAAGTGTATATATATACGGAGTATATATATATGTATATATTATTTGCATATATAGTTGACGGAGTAATACGCAATTAAAGATATTAATGATCAAACATATGTGTCGGGACTCACCATGCTTAATAAGTGTTGCGTGTTACTTAATGACACAAAGTGATTCTTCACATCTCCATTTCTTAATAAATACGTCCTTAATGCACTGCTTTAACCTCTTGCACTATTCTGAAACACTACAATTCCTCTAGTTTTCCGCTTTATCTCTCGTCTGAAATACCAATTGGTCACAACTAGAGTATTGGTCTGAAAATCTGAAATGGTGAAATTGAGGGAAGAGAATGATCCTGATACTATTGCTAATGTGAAGTGCAGGATCATCAACATCAGTAATTTTTCGGCAGAAACCCTAACTATTCCCGATGATCTCATAATCGGTAACATTCTGCCAAGATTGCCGGTAAAAACTCTAATCCGTTTCACATCTGTTTCTAAATTCTGGCTTTCTACAATTTCTACTCCTGAATTTGCAAAATCCCATCTCAAATTCTCCCTCAATCAAATTCTTTTAATCGATAAAAGACCTTTAAGATTCATGATATTGCCATATGATGATGAAGAATCTGACAGTCTGGAAAACCCAATTGAATTGGAAAACTTTTTTGATTCATCTTTTCAACAAAAATTATCTAAAAATGATGTTAGCTTTGTGGGTTCTGGTAATGGGTTGGTTTGCTTTGAATGTGATCATTTGTGTTTCTTCTTTATCTGCAATCCTGCTCTGCATTCATACCGTAAAATTATGTATCCGAATCCTGGTTACTGCTCCAATACTTCTTGGTTTGGTTATATACCATCTATTGATGACTACAGGATAGTTGTGCTATTTGGATTGTCTAGATTAAGAGTTCAGCGTGAACCTCCTGTATACTTTTATGTGTTTTCGCTTAAGACGGGGAATTGGAAAAGAATATGTGACCTTGATGATTATTTTACTCGCTATGAATGGTTATGCTGGGACACGAAAGTGGTCAATGATATTCTGTATTGGTCTGTTGGGTTTCTGGAATATGCGATGCCTAAGCGCATTGTAGGGTATAATTTGGTTAGTGAACAGGTGGAAGTATTTCCTTGGATGGATTGGTTACAACAGCTGAAAGTATTCCCTGGGATGAATTTGTTACAACAGTGCGTTAGTACAAGGTTTTTCTTGAGGAATGGGTGCTTATCAATAGCATGCATCAGCTTAATCGATCGGATGACTGAAGTTTGGACATTGAAACAATTTTATGATTGGAACTCTTGGGAGAAAGTGGGTTCTTTCAATCGTCCGTGCACGTTTGGTTGTCATGTCACCCCCACAGGCAAGTTTTTAGTAGAGAAATGTTTTGAGCTCCAAACACCGAACCGGTTCATGATAGTTGATGCAAGTCTAGATACTGAAAAACAAAGGCAAAGCCATACTTGCTCATGTGACAACAAAATAACTGTTTCAAATGCGGTGGGTTATGTTGAGAGTCTCATTTCCCCCTTCGGAACAATCATGTCCATTGATGAGGAAGACCGTGAACTGTGATCGACATTGCTATCTTATGTGGGTGTGTTCGCTTTGTGGTTTAAAATTTAAATTGCTTGTATTAGGTTTTATCATGTGATTTTCCTATTAGACCTTGTTTTTTTTCTGGGAATCAGCCATTTTTGTTGTTGTTGTTGTTGCTGTTGTTATTGTTGTTGCCGTCGTCGTTTTTGTTACCATTGTTGTGGTGGTGGTGGTGGTGGTGGTGTTGCTGTTGTGTTGTTGTAGCTTTTCTGAGACTGATTCAGACTCAAAGCTGTTTGTTATCTAGCCTGAGCATAAAATATTATTACTGTTGAGAAGGTGACAATTTTGTAATAGTCTGTTGCTTTTGTAGTGGTTGGTTCATGATAATAATAGCAACGAAGTTTTTATTTAATCCATCAATTTCATTTTGGCTTTGTATGAATTTGAGTATTTATTCCTTTCTGAATTTTGTAAGCAAAACTGGCTTGAATTGATCATGAACATGGTTACGCGGGTCAGTGAAACCATCGACATTGGCATAAACAACCATCTCCCTTTCCCTGACTACTGCCCTGATATCATATAGTTTATTCCTAATGATTGTGATGCAAGCAATACTCAATATGTTTCTTATTTTTATTTCAACTAGCTCTTTGCTCTTTCCAAGTTATTCATGAGTCAGCCGCCATAAGGGGTTGTCAGTTGTCACTGTGAGTCGATCTATTGCATGGTGCCAACAGAGAGTGCTGCTGGAAAGAAGAATAACATTCTGGTGGTTTGAAAAGTTTGATCCAACCTTGTGCAATTGTTAATGAGACATGTTCAAGCTTAAATTACATTTCAAATATTAAAAGAGCCAAACTCAAACTCAATTATTTGCATTTTTATTTAAGAAAATTGTTTCGTATACCCCTGAAGTTTTAAAAAATGCACCGACTGGAAACTTTCAAATGCACCATATATCCTTAAGTTTGTAAAAAGAAAATGCACCAAATACCCTGATCATCAAACAGATGTACATATTATTTATATGTCAAATTAAAATCATGCCTACATATTGACTCTTGCTAATTAATTACCAAATCCAAACTCTTTTTTAAAAAAACCAAAATTATTACTCATTTATTTTCCCCTCTCATTACATCTATCCCATTCAACCCCTTAAGATAACTATAACCCGTTTCACAATAAATTAATGAAAATGCTAAATAAAAAGCAAAACTATTGATTATTATTAATATTAAATGCGGCAAAGGTTTACTTACTTTAATCAAAATTTTCCTATTTTTATTGCATTAATACATATCATTTTACAGAATGCCCGTGATTACAACCATTGGAATATTGGAGTTGCTTTAATAGATTTTTTTTTTTTTTTTTTTTTTTTTTTTGGTGTTCCACACTTCTATGGTTCTACCTGTTCATCTTTGGACTGATCCAGATTCGGGGCTCGGCTCTAAATGGTTAGATTCTAATCCCTTCACAATTGTTGCTACGAGTAGTCAGTAGTCTCATTTTTCACTTCGCTAAACTTAACTAAATTTCCACTCACAAAAGTAAGGAAGAACTCAGAAAAATGGCGAATTTGAATGGTGAGGATCATAATTTCGATTGTAATATTTCTAATTTAAGTGTGAAAAACAATGACAATGTTTCAGCATTAGTCCAAATCATTGCAATTCTTCCAGAACACCTGATTTTGGTCTCATTCTCCCAATATTGCCGGTAAAAACCCTAATTCCTTTCAATTCTGTTTCAAAATTTTGTTATTCTATTATTTCTATTGATGAATTCGTGAAAACCCAATTATATTATTGCAATTTTCGTCCAAAATTTTTCATACTTACTCATACTCGTAATTATAGTTCATATACAAGCTCATGTTATTGCAATCTGATGAGTTCAACAACCTGAAAATTCCATTAGAAATTGTTTAAATCTTGATTTGTATTTTTATTTTGTGGGTTCTTGCAATTGCTTGGTTTGCTTGTTTTATCAAGTTTAGACAACTACGGGAAGTCTTAGGAGTTGTGGAATTTTCTTTATTTGCAATCCTGTTATGTGGATGATGCTTATCGATTCGGTTACTTGTGCATTGATGATTACATGATTGTTTTTCCATCGAATCGTTCCTGCACTTATGCGTTTTCTTTGAGGAATGGAAAGTGGAACAGGGTTTATGATATTGATGTTAGGTTGCTTTATACTAATTGGCATATTTTGGTGTTTGATTTCCAATTGGCGAGTTATTTAATATACGTGTATGTATGTAAAGCGATTGACTGCTGGTTAGTGTAATACAATTCTATGTAGGATTCTGATTAATACGTAATCTAGGTTCCAGAGAATACTGCGTGTAGTCAGAAAATTAAGTATTGGAATAAGACTATACATAGCAATATAGCATGATTCATGTATGAGACTAGATTTTGTTGCTGCATGTTTTAGAAGTTATGTGATCACTCCTTGTTTTATATCTTACTAGAATTACGTTGCTTGCTTCTCATTTGATTGGTCAGCCATACGATAACATACTAAAATAGCTAGTTTTACTTTGAATTATTCTCATTTGATTGGTCAGCCATACTATAACATAGCTAGGTTTGTGCTTCACATAAAAACTTAGAACAAGAACAATCAAAGGACAAGGACAAATGGTCCAACTTATACAGTTTATGGCCATAGTTTCTTTTTTGTGGTTTGTATATTTTTTTCTTACAAAAATTTTGATTCTCTTGGTTGATGTCCTTTTTTGAGTCTACAATGTTTTACCGAGTTAATTAATAAATTTTGAATTAATCACGTGATTTTGTGCAAATCTAGTGATGAAATCAAAATGGCATTCCAGATCTTTTTCAGAGGATAAAACAAATTATGTTCTTTGGACTGTAAAGGCACCTTGTTTCTATGCATAAGGTCATGGAGTGGCTGGTTAGATATGAAGAAAATTTTCTGCTTCAGAACCCTAAGTTAGAGAACTGCATGTAGCTAGGGAATTCAAGTAAAATTTTGGAATCACAAATATAATCGTAAGACTTGCACGAGAGTATACTTGTTACTAAATGTAGCTATGAGTAGTAAAGCTGTGCATCACAAAGCACCGTGAGACCATGACAAAGGGCTTCGCGAGTTGTGAAAATTGGCCTGTTTGTTAAAAGGGCAATCTATGCACTATGTAGCAATTATGATGAAAAGGGAAAATACTGTGGGTTTGCAACTTGTTCAGCAATTTAACTGAATTTATCTTAGTCCATTATACTATCACCACTAGATGTGCCCCCTCGTCTTTCAGTATAGTCATTACCTTATCTATTTCCCATTGTGTTGTATTATCACTTATTTCTACAGTACTGATCGTGCTTTTAGCCTATAATTGATGATAATGGCAATAGTTGATTCTAAACCCCAATTGTGAGGTTTGTGACTTCCATGTGCTTATTGTGAAATAGATATGATAGCTAGAGTGCAATCACAATATTGGACTGCTGCAACCCTTGATTATGCAGGTATATTTTAGCTATCATGATCTTTTCATTCTCTGCCAGAACAAGCTCTTCACATTCACAGAATCACACACACACACACACACATATTTTCTTGAAAGAAACACAGTTAGGCCCCGTTTAGTTTGATGTAAAATGTTTTCATGGAAAATGAGTTTCCCATATTCCTTTGTTTGATTTGTGAAGAGGTGGAATATAATATTCCAAATGGTGGAAAATTACATCCATAATAGTGGAAAACTATTTTCTTTATAAAACAAGGGAAGCCTCATTGTCTTCCCTTTCCCTTATCTCCTTTTTATTTTTCTCTCATCCATCTCCACATTTTCACTCCTATTTTTAATTTCTCTTAGTTTTTCTTGTAAGAACCAAACAAAGGGAAACTATCTTGCAAGTGTGGTTTTCCTTGAAAATATGTTTTCCATTAAAACTAGTTTTTTATTGAAAGTATTTTACATCAAACCAAAACGGGGCTTTAAGTTGCCTAATTTTTTTACTGTATCACATCTCTGCTTTATCTTAAAACTGTCGTTTACTCAAGCTCCCCCCCCCCTCTTCTCTCTTCTTGGAGCACAGGTGCAGCTTGTGAGTCTGTATTGACAACATTGATTGCTCAGTTCAGATCATATTAGAAGGTTCAACACTTACAAGCTTGAATTCTGAATCTGGTGGTGTTACAGCTGCATAGGCTTGGATATTAGATCTTGTGTACTCTATTTGCAGGATATTATAAGATTATTCAGGTAAGTTATCAGGTTCTTTTTTTTTTCCCCCTTTTAATAGGAGTCCTTGGCAGTTTTTAACGTACATATTTTCTTGGCTTCTAAAAAATTTTGAAACAAACTGTCAAAGTGCTTTGATTGGATTGCTTGTTTGCTTGTATGAGGGAATTTAGTGCTTGACTACTTAAAATTTTTATTTTATGCATCTTAATCATAACGATAACCAGTTAAGGAAATAAGGCTTTGGTATTATTTTATTGTTAGTGATAATTATATAAAAGTCTCACATTCTAATTCGAGGTGCTAGCTCGGTTGGTCCAACCAACTTGTTCATATTTGCCTCCCCATCACATAAACAATACCTTCAAGTAAATGTTACTCAACTACTCGTTCATAAGCATTTGTAGTTTAATTAAGTTTTATTCTTCCATTATATCTTTCAAGAATAATAGAAAGTTGGAGAATATATAAAATTTTAAACTACTTTTTTACCACACAACCGGGGTGTTGTACTTTGCAGCATACAAAAATTATTGTATCTAATCATTTACACAATGAGCAAATTAATTTTGCTCACTAGCGAAATTTGAACAAATTAGTTTTGCTAATTTTGCTTCATTTTTTTTACTTGCACAAAATGAGCAAATTTGTATAGTGATGCAAAAGAACATTCTCTGTTTGCTCATTCTTGTTCATCCATGCAAGTAAACACATTGGACAAGCTACAACTAGTCGTATGGTGAAGATCTTGCTAACTCGTTATATATCTTGTTCATAATTAATTAATATAATCAAATATAGTGATTATGTGGGAATAAAAAAGATTGAAATTGCATGATCCAAGCTTTAAACAAGTCTAAAGAAGATTATATACATAATCCAAAGCATTTTTTTTTTAAATAACAATGACTGAAAAAAATTATGTTAAAACAACTTTTGTTTATCTATACCCTCCGCTTTATTAAGTGACTCATTGACTTTTTTGCATTTTCACACTAGTCATATATGCGTGATTTATTGTAATTTTTTGGGTGTACCAAAGACACCTTTTTGATGCACGTATGAGAAAAAGTGGAATATTGAGAAAAAAAAAAAACTCAAATAACATAATTATATTAAAAATAGTAAACTTTTTGAAGACCACCCCACAAAAATTACTATGACATTAATATGATTGATAACAAAATTAAAAGTATTTCATGCATTGGAATATATTTCTTTAACGACATATGAATTCCTAGTTCTAAAATCAACACACACAAAATATACCTTGATTATGATATTCATGCACTTGTAAGAATAAGGAGGAGAAAAATTGAACTTTCTCTATTTGGTGTTTTTTTTTCTTCTTCTTCCAGTCGACACATTTTGAATATAGCACTATTTACTTACTCCCCTTTGACCGTGATTTATGCATTATACACAATTAAAAATATAGTCCCGTGGAATCTTGTTAGATTCGTCACGATATATATTTTAAAAATATCAATTGTTCATAAACCTTGTTTATCGGTAATTAAAGATATTAATAGTTTATGTTGCCATGTGGAAATTGTGACTAAAAAACGTGTCAACAAAAAGAAACGGAGAAAATATTATTCATAAATTTAGCTATATGTATTTACATCTATTCACAAAGTGGAATTGATTCCTTAATTATAATTTTTAATAGAATTATCTTAATTGTAAAAGTTCCATGATTTATAATTCCTTGATTGTACCTTCATAATTAATTTTTTTTAATTGATGTCAATTATTTGAATAATTAGTGCCAATTTTTACCTTGCCAAATGTGGCTGATTTGTCAATGATTAGTTTCCATTTCAAATATAAACTTATAATTGTAATCATCTAATATTTATATTATTGTATTTTAGGTGGACACCAAAGCCCTTCCCTTCATTTATATGATAAAGATATTGAGTTTTACTAAATTATCTTACCTATATGTAATAACTAATTTTAATCCATGATGCTTGGTTTTTCTTTTTCTTTTTAAAGTGACTTTTACATTATATTTGATTATATATGCCTTATAAACTACATGTATTTCATTAATTTTGATAAAAAATTAATGTTTGAAAATTTGAAGCTGTATATAGCATAAATTTGGAAACTTGAAATTCTAAAATCTTTTTATATTTAGGGTAAAGGGGCATGAAATTATTTTGAGGTGAAGAGACATGATATTGGAAGAAAAACTAAATGTAATTGAACGGAAAATATTATGTGAGTAATTTGAAGGCATAAAGGTGGAAGAAAATCAAGATTGTGTAGGAGAAAACATGTGAACCCCAAAGAAATAAGATAAAAAAAAGGTCTTTAAATGTGACACGTGGCACTTTGGATTTCTTGCAAAATTTTCCTATTATTAAATATTATTATTTTTTTTAATGAAATATTGTTATACTTCGTTCGTATATATTGTTGGATTAGTTACGAGGTATAAATTCATAATATCATTTTTTACTAATACGCAAGTAAAGATATCAACAATCAAATATTTGCATCGGCATGCGTAATAAGTGTTTGCGTGTTACTTAATAACACAAAGTGATTCTTCACATCTCCATTTCTTAATAAATACGTCTTTAATGCACTGCTTTAACCTCTTGCACTATTCCGAAACACTACATTCCCTCTATTTTTCCGCTTTTATCTCTCGTCTGAAATACCAGTTGGTCGCAACTAGAGTATTGGTCTGAAAATCTGAATAATGGTGAAATTGAGGGAAGAGAATGATCCTGATTCTATTGCTAATGAGAATTGCAGGATCATCAACATCAGTTATGTTTCGGCGGAAACCCTAACTATTCCCGATGATCTCATAATCGACCTCATTCTGCCAAGATTGCCGGTAAAAACCCTAATCCGTTTCAAATCTGTTTCTAAATTCTGGTTTTCCACAATTTCTACTCCTGAATTCGCAAAATCCCATCTCAAATTCTCCCCCAATCAATTTCTGTTAATCTTTAAAAACCCATTAAGATTCATGTTATTGCCATATGATGATGAAGAATCTGACAGTCTGAAAGACCCTATTGAATTGGAGAACTTTTTTGATTCATCTTTTCAACAAAAAATATCTAAAACCAAGGTTAGCTTTATGGGTTCTGGTAATGGGTTGGTTTGCTTTGAATGTAGGATTTTATGTTTCTTCTTTATCTGCAATCCTGCTCTGCATTCATACCGTGAAATTATGTATCCTAATCCTGATTACTGCCCTAGAACTTCTTGGTTTGGTTATATACCATCTATTGATGACTACAGGATAGTCGTGCTATTTGGATTGTCTAGATTAAGAGTTCAGCATGAACCTCCTCCTCCTGTATACTTTTATGTGTTTTCGTTTAAGACTGGGAATTGGAAAAGAATGTGTGACCTTGATGGTTATTTTACTCCCTATGAATGGTTATGCCTGGACACAAAAGTGGTCAATGATATACTGTATTGGTCTGTTGGGCTTCCAGTATATGCGATGCCTAAGCGCATTATAGGGTATGATTTGGTTAGTGAACAGGTGAAAGTATTCCCTTGGATGGATTGGTTACAACAGTACGTCTGTACGATGTTTTTCTTGAGGAATGGGTGCTTATCAATGGAATGTATCAGCTTAATCGATCGGACGACTGAATTTTGGACATTGAAACAATTTGATGACTGGAACTCTTGGGAGAAAGTGGGTTATTTCTCTCTTCCATGCACGTTTGGTTTTCATTACACCCCCACAGGCAAGTTTTTAGTAGAGAAATGTTTTGAGCTCCAAACACCGAACCGGTTCATGATAGTTGATGTAAGTCTAGATACTGAAAAACAAAGGCAAAGCCATACTTGCTCATGTGCTGGTAATAGAACTGTTTCAAATGCGGTAGGATATGTTGAGAGTCTCATTTCCCCCTTTGGAACAATCATGCCCATTGATGAGGAGAACCCTGGAGTTTGATCGGTGCTGCTATCTTGTGTTGGTGTGTGCGCATTGTGGTTTAAATTTTTCTTGTATTAGGTTTTATCATGTGATTTTCCCATTAGACAATTTTTTTGCTGGGAATCAGCACTTTTTGTTGCTGTTGCTGTTGTTGAGTAGTTGACAATTCTGTAATAGACTGCCGCTGTTGCAGTGGCCGGTTTATGATAATAACAATGAAGTAATTATATAATCCATCAATTTCATTTTGGCTTTGTATGAATTTGAGTATTTGATTTTTTTTTTTCTTTCTGAATTTTGTAAGCAAAACTCGCTTGAATTATTTATGAACAGGCTGTGAAACCATCTACATTGGACATAAACAAACATCTCCCTTTCCCTGACTACTGTCCTGATCTCTTTGGCCCCTTTCCTACTTGCTAACTGACTTCAATTACTGGTAAATTTGCGTCTTCTTGCTGTGACTGCTTTTTCTGGATTGCTAGTTCTCTTGTTTGCAGCCCTACCAATATGCTAATAATAATAGTATCATATAGTTTATTGCTAATGATTGTCATGCAAGCAATGATCAATATGTTTCTTATTTCAACTTGCTCTTTGGTGATTTTTCTTTTTGAGTAGAATTCAACCCTGATCCTCTCCAAGTTTGTCACGAGTCAGCCGCCATATGGGGTTGTACTGTGAGTCGTTCATTGCATGGTGCCAACCGAGAATGCTGCTGGAAAGAAGGATTACATTCTGGTGGTTTGGGAAGTTTGATCCGACCTTGTTCAGTTGTTAATGAGCCATGTTCAAGCTTAAGTTACATTTGCCTCTCTTTTTTTTTTTTTTTTTTTTTTGAGGAACAATTATTTGCCTAACTTGTGAGCTTATTAATTTATGAAAATGATTCTATATGAGCTTATTATTTGAATGACAAAGATAGGATACACTTTTTCACACAAATTGCCCTAGTCATATAAAATTACAAATTAAAGCCAAGTAACAACATAAATTTTTAATTGCACATGTTGAAACATGATGTATTTAGTCGAGTTTAGGTTTATCTAGATTAAACCCAAATCATTCCTATCAAGCCAAAATATTAAACAAAGTTATAGGATTAAGATGAGTTCATTCTCTAGTTTGAATTTATTAAAATTAAATCAAATCAAGTCAAGCTAATGTTAGAGTTTGTTAGATTTGCCTTAACTTGTAGTGATAATAAGCAATCAATGTGAGACTATACATAAAGCATTAAATCCTCCCCTCCCAAATGTTGATAATTATACTGCATTCTACGAAAAACAACTTTTTTGATTTGTGATGAAGAAAATGAACAATATATAAGTGTGCAATAAATATTTTTTGCACTATAAATATAGAAAAGATTCAACTCTTAAAGTTCTTAATCATTAGGTCAATCCTTCATTCATCATCGACTTATTACAAGTGAACTTAGGGAATTTAGGGATAACAAACAGGTGGTGGGCGTGGTGCGGTGCAATTGTGGAAACCCCCCTTCCCCAAACCTATATCTACCTGAAGTTTCTATACCCACTACCCACTATGGAATGATTGGAATCCACATCTACTATACCACTCAAGTAGATATCTATTACCCACTAATTCACATATTACCTGCCTATACCCACTTATTAGTTATTACCACCTATGACCATCGAGTTTATATATCAATAAAATTATATAGTAGATGTCTTGTGTATATAAAAATGTTGGGATTGAGTGAACAAGTGGATATTGAGCGGACGGTGGACATAAGTTGAGCGAGATTTCAAATTTACCACATATTCAATTCTTATGACGAATACGAAGGGTCAAAGTATGACTTTTTATATCCATACTCACTCATTAATCATTATATTCATCAAATTTGCACTCATATCCACTTAAATTAGGACGGGTGTTATATATAATCCGCCAAATCATACCCACTTGCCACGAGTGCGATCCCCGAATAAGTATATCGTGTTCAAAGTAAAACACACCCGAGCGCGAGCAAAAAAAAAACAAAAAAAAATGACAGCACTCGGCTCTTTTATAAATACCATTTCACCTCCTTCCTTTGGCGCCATAACCCCCAAATTCAAAATTTACTCCTCTCTCTCATCTCTCCATCTTCATCATCACCAAACTCCCACAAAAATGTACACCTACTTCAAACAACAACACTCGACATTATCGGTTCCGGTTCCAATTCCGATGCAATCGAATCATCCGATCTCACCACCATCTTCATCATCATCACCCCAATCATGTAGTCAAGGTCATCGATCTTCGCTCATCCTTCAATCCGAAGAAGGAGGTTCAATTTGCTTACTCTGTTTCACAAACCTAATCACAAACCCTAATTCTCCAACCTTCCATGTATCCTACGCTCTCTCTCAGCTCTCTCATGCCGTCTCTCAGCCTTCCTTTCTCTCTCCTCTTCTCTCGTTTCATACTCACCTCATTCTCTCTCCTCTTGTTCATTCTCTATCATCTTTTGATGATGAACAGATTGCTCGCCAAGTTATTGATGTTGTTTCTCAGATTTCTGATTATGGCGGTTCTTCGGTTGCTGGTGATTTTGTTGCCAGTGTTGCTGCTGTTTTGTCGTCTGGTGAGCTTGCTTGGAGTCGTCGTCAGGTTTACTCGGTGAGTTGTTTTTCTGTTTGTGATGAATTTTGATCAATTAGGTTTGGATTTTTGTTGTTTTATGAGATTTTTGGTGGAAATTTAATTGAGTAGTGAAATGTGATGTTAGGTTTTGATGTGATTATTTTTTTGTAGATTGATGAAATTTTTTGATTTCAGAAGTTGATTTTTGGAAATTGAGTGGTGATTTTGTGAAATGTAATTTTAGGTTTTGATGTGAATTGTTATTATTGGAGAATGATGAAATTGTTTGATTTCAAAAGTTGATTTTTAAATGGAGGTTGCAGATGAGAATTGGTGGCTTGTCTCTTAGATTGTGCTCAATTTTGATGAATGGATAGGTTGTTTGATGTCAATGTTTGGAAATTTGGTTGCTGAAGTTATGTCAAAGATCCGAAGTGAATTCCTGGAGACTTGATTTTACAACTTTTCGAGTTTTGAAATGAGAGATGTGGAGGATGGAGACCGTAGTGTTGACATTGATAGGCGTGTTGAGATCAGTAAAGATGGAGTTATTGGTAAGATCATTATACATTCACTTCTGAACTGAATATGGATTTACTGGTAAGAGCATTATGCATTCACTTCTGGATCGAATATGACTCTTGGAGATGAATTATGTTGTGACATATGTTTATAAGGCTTATAGCTAGCTTAGCATTCTAGCTACCATTATCTGTAAAAATCATTGATGCATTTTGTTATTTGAAAAACCCGTGGAAAGTATGCAAATAGAAATGTGAATGTTTGGGGAGTAATCGCAACAGCATATATGGATGAGTGTATAAGTGTATAATATTGTGCCTAGAATGAGTGTGAAATAGATTTTTCTTTTCTACAATGTGGTTATACTGTTACTTTATTGGTTAATTAGCTATATACTTATATACGGATTGATTTATTTCTCTCTACTTTTCCTTTACCCATCTTTGTTTTAGGTGTAATTAGATTTAAGCCTATGTAGTTAGATTTAAGCCTATGTAATTAGATTTAATCCTATGATGACTACCCATCTTTGTTTTAGGTGTAATTAGATTTTAGCCTATGATGAATACATTTTAGCCTATGTAGTTAGATTTAAGCCTTTGTTTTAGGTGTAGTTAGAATTAAGCCTACCAGCTTTGTTTTAGGTGTAGTTAGATTTGACTCATTTGAGCTATAGGCCTAAAATGAGTACATGTAACTGTGTATTCATTTGTTTGGTCATTTGTTAAGTGATTGGATTTAAGCCTATGATGAATAAAAATGCATTATGTCACAACAGTGATCATAATGTAGTCAGCTTATTGAGTGAAATTATGCTTTCTCCAAGCTTCTTCCCATTTACTCATATAGTCTTCTATTAGTGCATTTGCAGCATATAATATCAAGTAAACTACAAGCATTAAGTAAACACAAATTATTGGCACCTCAGTGATTTGGAGTTAAACTCACTGTTTTTTTTTTTTTTGTTTTTGTTTTTGTTTTTGTTTTTTTTTTATTGTAGCTACATTGTCTGGGAGTTTTTTTGACACGTCAAATGGATACTTATGACAGTATCAAAGATAAAACTGGTCTGATCAACAATCTTGTGATGGGTCTTCAATTGCCAAGGTATCAGCCTGAGCAAACACAGAGCAGTTTATTTATTGAGTACAGATTACCATCTTTTCACTTTGTCATTGCTATGCCATCACAAATGCAGTGAAGAAATTCGAGGGGAGATCATGTTTGTTCTGTACAGGATATGTATCCTCCAGTATTCCAGTGAAGATGAGGAAGGTGCTGATATATTGTTTGAGTATTGCCCCATGATCTTACAATTATCTTTGGATGCACTTATGAAGACTCAAAGAGATGATGTTCGCCTAAACTGTTTAGGTTTGTCCCTTATATCTCACAACTGCCTGTATATAGCTTTCTAGTTTGGATCACTCTGCAACACCTGCAGAACCAAGCTGTAAGACAATATTAAAAGTTGCATTTATGGTCTATACTAGTAGAAGATCTTAAATTTTGGATTCCAATCTTTTATTTTCTCTGGGCATGAAGGGATTAAGTTTCAGTAAGATCATTCTAATGTATAGCAATGTCAATTGGGTTATAGTTTTCAGCTAGTCAGATATTACACTAGTACTTGAGCTAGAGTGAAAGTTATAGAGGAAGGTATAACTTGGAAAACTCTATTAGAGGATTATTAGCTAAAATTCTTTGCTTGGTAAAATCTCTTGAGCAGTTTGCATGAGAATGTGTTATGACTGTCATCTCTTGTTAAGGATCAAATTGAATCTGCAAGCTAAGCTTTCTATTTATTTGGGGACATTTAGATTAGAAAAAATATGAATGAGACGGGCTTTACGTTTTGTTTTAAGGTTGTAACATCCTTGCATCACATAGAAGAGAAGCACTGCAAGAAGCATTTGTATTTGCATATCATTTCAGACTCTTAGTTAAGTAATGACTGATTTACTTGTGTAGCTCTTCTGAAGGTGTTGGGTCAAAGAGGATTCCTCTCAAATGCCTTTTCAAGTGAGTTCAACATGATGGATACCTGTGAAGCGGATAACTATACGCAATCCTCCAATGATGAACCTAATGGTTCTTCTTTAAGTAGATTGTTTGCTGAGGCTATTAAGTCTCCGTTGCTCTCTCCTGATAGTCAAGTTCAAGTCTCTACACTGGACCTCATAGTACATTGTTTGTCATGTGGGAACTGTTCACTCAAGCAAATTCAAGTCTTGGTGGAAGAGAATCTTGCAGACTATATATTTGAAATACTAAGGCTATCAGGTAATAATTTGTTTGCCTAAACAAAAATTTATAGGAATCAAACGTTAAAAGCATTCTTGAGGAATCATGCTACATGTAGTATTTACTATTTTATATCATCAGTGATGCTTTGTGCAGTGTTTTGTCAAATATCTTGCTATTCTAACTCAAGTTATACTGTTGTTATTAGCAACTTATATAGTTCTAGGTATAGATTTTCTGTTGGATGCGTTTCACAAGCTACCTAACTGTATGCTTATATTACAACTTCTACTTTGCAGAGTACAAGGACCAGATTGTAAGCTCTTGCGTTCAAGCTCTTGATATCTTATCAGCGGCTGAACACGTCTTCAGGCAGAGGCTTTCCCTTGGCTTCTCTACTTTGGTCTCTGTTCTGCCTCAGGTAGCTGAAGTACCTTTTCATCCTGTTCAACCTCAGATGCTAAAGCTCATATTGGTTGGCATCTCAAGTTATCCCGGAGTAGTATCTGCCAAACTTGCTGAAGAAATAAGTAGTTCCTTGACACTAATACTAAAGAGATACTCTGCTGGTGAGATGGGTATGCTTCCTGAAGCATTCATTACCATCTGTTCCATTTTTGTTGCTCTTGTGAAATCTCCTTCAGCTAGCAGAGCTTCAAATTTGATGGCTACAGTCCTGCAAGCATCAAGACATGCAATTCTGGCCTCATTGAGCACAAATGACTTAAACAGCTACCAACTTCTGCATTCTTTATCTCTGTTAAAAGAAACATACTCATTTTGTCACGAAATCAGCTCTATATGTAATAGTACAGAGATGCAACCGAGAGATTCAATTATAGAAGTATGTCAAAATCATATAGTACCTTGGTTTATGACAGAAATCAATGGTTTGGAAGAGGAGAGTGTGTTAAGAATATTGGAGACCTTGCACTTCATACTGTTACAAGCTCATGATAATCAGGCCTTGCAACGCACTCATGCTCTACTTTCACTCTCGTGGTTCAGCTTGTCTTTCAGATGTTTAGGTCTGTACCCAACAGAAAAGATGAAATTGACAGTGTATCTGATGCTAAGTACTATTGTGGATAATATTCTTGGCGATGATTCTGGCAAATCCATCAGAACTGTTGCATCTGCTTTGCCAATAGATCCTGTTGATCTTCTGTTTCTTCTGGGGCAGAAGCACAACTTAGATCTGTCATCTTGCCAGATTGCTGTATTACAAATACTGCATATCAGCTCTTTATACGACGAAATGCAAGTATCTAACCCTGCTTTGAATTTTCTTGACTTATTAATGTCCTTCAAGTTTTCCATCTTAACCTTTAGATTTTTCCCCATCTTTCTCAGGCTTGCTGACAAGAAGCTAATTTTGACTTCTCTGGAGCAATATATGCTTGCCAACAGCAGCCACTTGCTTTTCAGAGCTGTTGACTCGATTGTGGTAGTCTATTTGTTGAATCTTTATGCTCTGTGTAGAAGCTTTTCCAAGAAAAACTACCAAATTTGTTACAGTTCTGATGCAGAAAAGATTTTCTTCGAGCTCTTGGAGGAGCAAGATTGGGATTTATCATCTTTTGACATTCACCCATCCTCATTAAAATGGTTGTTTCAACAGGAGAAATTCAGCAAGTCCTTGTCTTGCCAAATCCTCAAACTCTCTCGAAATAGTTTCTCAAATGACACCCTAATGAACTGTGGGATTCTTAATTTCCACGATATAGCATGTTTAGCCTCTGTAGGAGACAACCTTTTACCAAAACTGTTGGTCCTTCTGCTGAAACAGCTTGTTGGAAATGATATGTTACTAGAGGATGTAATATCATTACTTCATTTTATATCGTCAATTATCACCATTTTTCCGCATGCTGCAGATCAGCTCTGCATGCATGGAATGGGCAGTGCAGTTCAAAATCTCTGTTCGAATTTGTTATGTTCTTCCTCACTAGAGAGCTACATGATCGTTTCACGTTTTATCTTCATCATCTTATGTTCTGTGCAATCTCAAACACTCTATGATGATGAAGCTTGGCTTGCAGTGGTGATGAAGGTAGGTAAGTTTTTGTGTAAAAGCATTCAGACCTGGTTTCATCCATGAAAATTTCTTACTTTTTCTTCTTTTTCGTCTCTCTCCAAGCAGCTGTTTGACTCGTTTACTTCCTCCATGAGGGCTAATGGATGGACAGAAGAGCATCTATTAGTACTCGGTGTCCTTTCATTAGTTTTGTATCATTCCACTCAGGGTGTGCTCGTAGAAACTGCAAAATTCATACTTCTGAATTCTTCTTTAGCCTCCCTGATACGAGCCACAGTCGATGGACTTTTGGCAAATGGATCTGCTTCAATTGAGCAAGAAGAGGAATCAGACACCGAGCACACCTTAGTTTTTCTGCTGTTATTTGTCCACTTTTACCTAAAAAGGTAAGCAAGGTTTTATTGAGTAACATTTTGATTGTTTCATCTGAATGCTAACTCTTTTGTGCTTTAGTTTGCAAGCTGTTCTACCAGGAAGCGTGGACTGGCAAAATTTCTTCGATTTACCAGAAGGGACATGTGCATTTCCTGCAGTTGGAATTTCTTGCCAGGATATATGCAGGTTCCTGCACTTCGGTTCATCCCTGGTAAAATTAATTGCCTCACATTGCCTGTTCGAGTTATTGAGTGGGATCACAGATCAGCAGAATGGATTGAAATGCACCAAGGGGTATTTACGGTCCATAGTTGCTGTATTAGAAGGCCTTATTTTTCACTGTGATCATCGAATTGCCCTGAACTCTAGCCTCTGTTTATCAATGATCTTCAGCTGGGAAGTACCCAGTACGTATCATACATGCTTAAATAGAAACAGCAGCTGGTGCAGGATGATTGTGGAGGAGTTAGCAAGATCTTTGGCTGCGCCATCTTCAGTATCTACTTCATTGATGAATCATCACCGGCCTGCAGTGCACATTGCTACTGCTCTTTTAAGATCAAAAACTGTTCCTTCGTGGATGAATTCTGTGTTCGATGAAGCCTGTGTATCTAGCTTAATCGAAAACCTCTCTCCTAATAACATTAGTGTTGAGGTGGTTCTCTTATTTCAACAGTTGCTGCTGTCAGCTTATCTGAAGCCTGATCAAATTGATAAACTGAATCATCTGCTTCAGGTAACTCTTGTCTCAAATTTTGTCTTATATAATTTTTTCATGAACTATTTGGCACATTTTATATTTTGTAGTAACATAATTCCCGATACATCCCCAAATTTGTTTGATCAGAGATAGTGAAAAAGAGTCGCAAAATCGGACATTAGTCAACTGTACTCTAATTTACTCTGTATTATGATATAGTCCTTTACTAAGAGATTTTAAGAGGAAGTTTTAGGAGGGACTAATTTGATTGTTGGCTAAATACTACGGTGTTAATACATTAAATTCCAAACCAGGTTATGTACATTCAAACTTTCTGTGATGTATAGTCCTAAGAACTAACCAGAATGGAATGAGGAGAATGATGCAAAACCATTTATATTCTACATTATGAATTTCAGGCTTGTAAGAGGTGCACACACATGGGAAGTAAAGACAACAGTGATTGCACGGGAGAGCAAGGAAGGAAGGTCGTGACAATGTCAAGCGACTTGGGAGAAATTTGTGAGGTTCTACTCCAATTAATGTCGTTGGAAACACAACTGGATGTTAATTTTGGCGGATATCATGCCAGGGCTAATAGATTAATGGAAGAAATGGAATTGTTTTCCAGGCTCGCGGAAGATATGAGGTTTGAGAACGCATGCTGAGCTTAGGCCTGTTCAAGTTTAAGATTTGTTAATACTGTTTGAGCACTGTAAATAGTTCGATCTGTTGTTTTTGCATATGTATATTCACAGAACTAAATTAACGCATGAATGTTAGAATCCCATTTTTATTTATATAAATACATACAGTATACATTAATATAAGCACATCTAATGGATATTAGTTCCTCATTCAGCTGTTTGAAGAAGGCGGTTTAACCAGCTAATTCATGGAGAATCACCAAATTATCTATGACCACAAATTTAAAGCAGGGATGGAATCATGAAAAGAGTAACTAAGAGGGGCTGTCATTACGATGGTTTGTTAAGCAACCTGATTTTGTGCAACTGTTGTAACATTGTTCGGGTTATATGTAAGTAAAGGCTTTGACAAATAAGTAACTCGATTTAAATTTGAGTGTATGAAATTATGAATTGATGAAAAATGTACCAATACTAGAGATAACACTTCCTCCCTTAACCCACAGAATTGAAAAATGCCTAAATGGTTATATGACGACTTATATCCTTGTATCAAACCTCGTGGTCTTCCTCTTTGGTAGATTTGATTGCTCCAAAAGGTGAAACAAGACTCTCGACATAACCTCTTGCAGCAACCATATTCAAATAAATATCCAACGAGGATTGTTGTAGAGTGTCTCGACTTGGATCAATTAATGTGATTTGAGAAATATGTGGTTTCAAATAATTTTGTGCTAAGAATTTGCCATTGGAAGTAATGTGTAGCAAATACTTATGTCCAATATCGAATGAAAACATTTTCTCCCAAGAACTCCATTCATTGCCTTGTTTCAATGTCCATACATCAGCTTGTGGTTGTCTCGATAATGAGTAGCAAAGTAATGACAGGCACCCATTCATCTCGAAAAAAGAAGCCCTACTATATCGATCTAGCCAATCCATCCATGGAAATTCTTTGAAATTTAAGTTTACTATATCAACCCCAATGATGTGCCTTATCTTCCTATGGCTCACCACGATAGACCAGTACAGAATATCATCAACCGCTGTCTGTAGTGGCACTAATTCCGGCTTGAAATACCGAAAAACTGTATCAGTATGACTTAGCACGTTCCATTCCCCAGTGCTCAAAGAGTACACATAAAATTCCAAACTAGTTGTTGAAGCGGCGAAAATCTTATAGTCATCAATAGACGGTATATAGCCAAACCAATAATAAAAAATTGTTGATGAAGGATTATTAATTTCATGATATTGATGTGTTGCAGGATTACAAATAACTAAGAATTGATAACAAAGTATTATTGTCGGATAACTGAGACAAGATAAGCAAACGAGGCCATTACAAGAACCCACAAGATCTACCACTCGACCCTTTTCCGTTTGTAGTTGTTGTCGAGAGGGTATATCGAGAGTAAAATTCATCTCGATAGGGCTTTTCAGATTGCTGGACTCGTCGTATGGCAATGACAAGAACTTGTAAGATCGAGAATAATAAAGAGAATTAAGTAAGATAAATTCATTATTATCGGAGGTTCGATTAAGGTGTTTTTTAGCAAATTCAGGAGAAGAAATTATACAAAACCAAAACTTGGAAACAGATTTGAATCGAACTAGAGTTTTTACTGGTAATCTTTGTAGAATTTCCTCCACTATTAGATGATCCGGAAGAGTTGCGGGAATTTGGTTCGGTGACGAAACAATGTTGTTCATCAAACACTTCTCATAAGCATTACCCTCCGATGTCACCATTGATGTTGTCGTATAACTTTTTATTAATGAATTGATTTTGTTCAAAAAAATAGTGAAGCAAGGGAAAGAGGTTTAGCTAAACTCAACCCTAAAATTATATCAAATTTAAGGCTGTGAAAAAATATCATAAAAGTTTATTAGAGATATGAGATATCGGAAAATATATGTGTAATATATTTTCCATATATCTTATACTCCGTAATATATTTTTTGATATTTTATATCTCTAACAAAGTTAATTATGTAAACTAAATAAATAATGATTTCATCTCTTTACAATTTTATATTTTTACCCGGGCGGCGATGAAATTGGTCAAGTGCAACTATGTCTACAACAATTTTTTACATACAAATTTTTGTATGTAGCTGGCCACATGGTGCGGCAAGGATTACTTGTAGGGTGTTACTGGTTTTGTCAGGGGTTACTTGTAGGTATTACTTGTATTTTGGGGCTACTTGTATGGGTGTTACTGGTTTTGGTCGGTGTTACTTATAAGGTGTTACTGGTTTTGTCAGGGGTTACTTGTAGGTGTTACTTGTATTTTGGGGTTACTTGTATGGGTGTTACTGGTTTTGGTCGGGGTTACTTATAGGGTGTTACTGGTTTTGTCAGGGGTTACTTGTAGGTGTTACTTGTATTCTGGGGTTACTTGTATGGGTGTTACTGGTTTTGGTCGGGGTTACTTGTAGGGTGTTACTGGTTTTGTCATGTGTTACTTGTATTCTAGGGTTATTTATATGGCTGTTATTGGTTTTGATCAGGAGTTACTTGTAGGGTGTTACTGATTTGGTATGAGATTTTGGTCTGGAGTTACTCAGAATACAAGTAACACATACAAGTAACCCCATGATACAAGTATCCAATACAAGTAACCTCATAATACAAGTAATACCATACAAGTAACCCCAAAATACAAGTAACCCTAAAATACAAGTAACCGTGTCGCACCATGTGGCTTGCCGCACTAAAAAACCTCTGTTTTTTACAAGATTGCAATACGAGTTTTAACATACGAAGTATATACTTTACTAAATTATGAATTTTATCTTTATTTCGTATTACAGAGTAGCAAATATCAAACTTTGGGGTCTTTAACTCAACCCTATATCCCTAAAAAAAAAAAAAACAAAATTCAACCCTGTATGATCGACCACCCTACAGTTACACATTTAAACATACTCAGAAACACCCTTGTTAATATAGTACTTCCTCCGTTTTCTTTTACTTGCAACACTTCCCTAAAAAGGAAATGTCACAATACTTGCAACACACTATAAAAGGAAAGTTACTTTAGGGAAAAAATTATATTATATCCCTTATTTAAAGCACATGGCCCACTAAATTACACCTATTTTAAATTTTAGGAAAATTTAACAACAATAAACCAACCTTTGCTCCATTATCCCAAAATGAACCAACCTTTAAATCTGCCCAAAATAAACACAAGTTTGCTTTTATTCTCCCAAAATGAACCGAACAGGTCACCTTACCTGTTATACTAGGTAAAAATCCACTGTCATTAAATCATTGGTCAAGGCTTTTTTTTATAATTTTTACAAAAAAAAAAGCAAAACACCCTTCCAATTGCCAGCCACCCCACTACCAACCACTCGAAGCTTGACCCCCAGCCCCCGGTGCTGGCCCGCCCAGAACCCCCCTCCACCGGTCGTCGGTGCCGACTATACTCACACCTTAACCTTCACCCTTCTCGCCACCAAAACCAACATTACTTACCAACAACCACATTCTCCACCTGCTGCACAAACAAAGCAACATCAGCAGCCCACAGTCCCACACCTACAACCGCCAAGACCCACAAATCACGACTCACCTCAACAACAATCGCCACCCATCAGCCCTGCTACGTCTCTTCCCAACGCAACTCCACCACCAATCATACAAACCCTTATCGAACTCTTCATCAACAATATCAACAACGTTGAGGGACGAGTCATAGTGTTGCTAGCCGGCGACAGGTTGCGGGTTGCGAGTTGAGGTGTTACTTCGTTTATGGGTTAAGGTGTTACAAAATCAACAACGATGATTATAGCCTTACAGGGGTGTGATTGGTGGCGATTTTGGGCTGTGGCTGGAAGAGGAATGTGTGGTGAATGGTGGTAAGGCAAAGGATGTGTGTTGCGGCAAAGTGGTGGTGATTGGTTTACAATTGAGGGGTAAATTGTGGCGTAAGAGGGTGGTTTCGAGAAGGTGATTTAGGGTTCGAGGGTGGGGTTGCTGGCACCGGGAGTGGTTGGGCATCGGCCGCCGGCAGACGGAGGGAGGAGGGGTGGCTGGCAGTGGATTGGGGGTTGAGTTTTTTTTTTATAATTATTTTAATTTTATTTTATTTATTTTAAAAAGATAATAAATGGAAAAATAAAAAAAGTGACCGGTTATTCAGGTCACAAGTCATTTGGGTTTACTACGGGAGAAAAAATGCAAACTTGTATTTATTTTGGGCAGATTTAAAGGTTGGTTCATTTTGGAAGAATGGAGCAAAGGTTGGTTTGTTATTGTTAAATTTTCCTAAATTTTATTATATCATGTAAATCCCACCTTTCTTAATTACCGCGCTAAAAGAAAACGGAGGAAGTATTATGTAAAGACAAGTAGACAACTATATTCATATATTCTCCTTTATAAATTTATCTTTAAAACTCACCTATATTACTGTCAATATATGTTGTTGGTGATAAGAACTAAGGACGTCTTGTTCTCTTCACCGATGTGGTATGATTTTATTAAGGTCTGGTCTGATCTGATCTAAATTTTTTTTAATATGATCTGATCTAATCTAATTCAATAATTTGAGTAAATTTTAACCACATTTTAATACTAATCTATAAAGAAACATTATCAAAATGTGTCTTGTTAGATTCTCATTATGAGTTTTTCAAATATATAATTTTTATAATTTTTTTAGGCTAATTTTTAAATTACCATCCAAAAATGTAACCATTTTCGAATTAACTACCCGTTTAATTTTTTATTTTAAATTACTACCCTTAATTTAAATAAATGCTCATATTACTACCCATTTCAAAAATCCAGTGGATTTTCCGTGTGTAGGTTTCACCTAACACTTATTTTAACCCTTTTGACTGATTTTTTCCCCGATTTTTCTCTTTAAAAACGCTCTCTAAACATTAATTCACATTTTCTTCCCCAAATTCTACCAAATTTCAAAGAGAAAAATGTGAGAAAATATATGAACAAATATTTTTATGGTATAAATGTTTACACACTAATCATCTATATGAGTTCAAAAAGAAAAAGGCTATTAACATTAATGAGGATAAATAAGTAAACAAACATTTTTAGGGATATATAAATGTCCGCACACTATTCATAAAAATTTTATATAGAATTTTTTTTTTGACGAGTGTTTAAACTTGTTAAACTATAGAAATTATGATCTTCGGGTCAATAATTACAAAAATAATTACGAAGTATAGTATGATTAAAACAATTATGAACTTACCATCTATAACTAAAACTAAAGTAACAACCGTTGATGTCATCTTTTCTCAAAGTTGTACACATGTCACTATCTCATGAAAATTTTTCCTGCTCAAATGTTAAGCCCATCTATCTATATATATCTAAACTTTTAGAGAACATTTTTCATGAGACTTCTATATTTAATTTTAATTACCCTCATTAAAAACGAGCATGGCTCGGGTATTATCTAATAATATGATTAAAACCATTACGAAATTACCACTAAGTTTACATCATGGCAAAGTAGTGCCGCTCATCTCAACTATTCCCTCCATTTTTTAAATACTTGATCCATTTCTATTGAGCACATATACCGATGCTAATATTTAATCAATAATATCTTTCACTTTCAATAAGTATAAATTCTAACAATTGAAAATTAATAATCTATTCATTAGACGATTCCAACAAGTACCCACAAGACTATATTTTTTCTTATGTTTAAATCACAAACATTAATCAAAGTAGGACAAAAGAATAGTGTAAAAAATAGAATTGGAGCAAGTATTTAATAACGGAGGGAGTATTTTGTAACTATAGGTAGTAAGGTATTGCGAGTCGATTTTATACTCTTTATACATGCGATTTTGGATGATGTGAGCATCACCCATTTGTACCATTGTACTTCTTTCGTTTTCTTTTAAATGCAACACACATTTTTTACACATATATGAGGAAGAGATTAAACAATGTAAACGGAAAATTAATAAGAATTATCTATACATATAGTACTTAACCCTTCTCTAATCTTGTTGTTTAAATCATTTTGATAAAGTCACTCATTTACCTACTCTAAATAACTCCTATAAAAATGTTCAAGAAGGTGGGTTACATTTACAAGAAAACGGTCCAAAAGATTGCCTACTAGTAATGGCCTAATGGGTGTCCCATAGGCTAAAAGCAAATATCATCTCTTTTATATAAAGCATTACTTAGGATCTATTCTGATTTACTGAGCTGAGCTGAGTAGAGTAGAGTAGAGCAGAGCAGCCTGAGCTGAACTGGATAGAGCTTAAATGAATTGTTTATAAGAGAAAGAAATTAGCAACTGGACTGAACTGAACTGAACTGAAATTAAGCTGAAGAGAACAGACCCTTAGTCCATCGGTTCACCCCTATGATTTACTCCCTCTGCGACATCTTCAAATGCCTTAATTATTTGCAGTTTATATGATTGATTTGTATCATCACAGTTAATAGCCTAATGTCTCCACAAAAAAGAAGGCATTAAGAAAAAATCTGCTGAAAATAAACTAATAGTAGGGCTCTAGTTCCTTTTCACAGCAAAAACAATAATTACTCCGCTCACAAATCTTCACTATGCAACAATAATCTGAACTAAATACTAATAATCTGAACTAAATACTTCATAGTATAATAAGATCACCAAGAGTATTAGGCTTTAAAAATCCAACATATAGACATCTCTTTTACAAACCCTAAACATGTGCATATTAAACAAGCATTCCACTTATCGAAGAAAATTGCTCCTCAAATGTGTTTCAAGTCGTTCCATTACCTTGAACAGCTATCCTACCTAGCATTGACAGATGAACAACAAAGAAATGGTGCCCAGTATGGTTTGTTCTTGCCCTTCCTCTTCTCTGTCTTGATATTCACCGGATACCTTGCTGGAGAATTCCATTCTTTTCCCATTTCTATCTTCGACGCCTCTGGAATGGGGTTGTTGGAACTAAGAATCACATTTTCTGTCTTTGAAGCATCATTATTTGCTACTGGAGTTTCATCAGTTTGGGGTTTCATATGTGTGTGAATTGGTGATTCTGCTCTACTTCTGGCAGTGGCTTCTCCCAAAAGGGTTTTCAAAGGCAGATGTTGCTTTTCGGTGCTCCAGTTGGTTACCTTGGCAATAATTTCCTCATTTCTTTTTCCTCCATGTGGCGCATTATCCAAATGAGCAACCGAGGTCGACCAAGAACTTTGTAAGGCAGAACCCTTCTCTTTCTGCTCCTCTAATGTCTGGATCTCAGATACACCTCCTATCGCTCCAACCACAGGATCAACTGACGATTTACTCTCAGGGTGTTGACTTCCCATCATAGGTTTCACATCCAAGATGCCATTATCTTTTGAGGCAGATACCTGGGATTGGTTCAATGCAGGAGTGTCATTGGCAGGTGGTGTGTCTGATACTGCAGACATAACTGCATCAACCAAAAACAAGCAAGCAGAGGTTAATTCCCAGGTGAACACAAGCTTCTTAATGTCTAATTAGAGGCATTAAAAATTCAAGCAAAGAAACCATGACTGATCAACCTCATACATTTGAATAAAAAGGCATGATCACAAGGAGAAGCCTACTCCGTCCCTAAAACAATTTTAAAGCTTCTTTGTGGGTCTCTGGTGTCTCACTAGAGTTATAACTCCGTTTTGCATGTTTTCTCCTCCCAAATCTTCTTTTAAATAGGGCCACTTAAATCTATGTACTTATTCACTCTCCTAAATCTTTTTGGAAAATGTAAATATTAACTACATTTGGAGAGAGGTAGTATTCAAAGATTTAGTTTCCGGATGGATGTAGTGAGAATGCGTAAAGAAGGAAACCTCTGAAGGAGAGAGGTGAGAAATAGAGAATATATACAAGAGTAATGCATCTGAATCTGTTATAACAGATATGACTATGTACTTGTGTACGCTGCGATATCTTACAAAAAAAATTCCAAAAAAAAAAATTTACCTGAAACAGATCCCCAGTTGCCTTCCAGACTGTCAGTTTGGCTACTAGAATCTGGGAGAATATCAGCTCCTGAAATAGCAATATGGGGCTTAACAATCCTATCCCCTTCAAACACATCGGCCTCCTCTGCAGACTTATCCGTGAAGGTGTCATCGACAGTAGCAGAGCTTTTCAAAGAAAGTTGAGCATTGTAACAAACAGCTGAAGAATCAGTTGATATCATCTTTGATATTGAACCAGGAAGATTGTCGGTTTTCGAAATAGCACCTAGACCATCTTCACTTGTACACTCTGCCCCTCCTGAACTACCACCAGTGCTCTCCACCATGGGTAGTGTATGACCTGCTATCACATCCCTAGGATCCACCGTCTTATCTGATTTAACATGGTCATGAAATCTATTTGCCTCAAATGTCTCATGAATGCCATCACGAGATCCAGCTATAATTGAGCCACTAGGTGCAGTTTCAGCATTAACAGCCTCATTACCCTCGCCTCCACTTCCATCCAAATGAGTTTGTGCAGCTCCAATGTTTTCATTATTACCTGTATCAGAGCCATCATGGATATTGCTTAGCTCTTTAGATTGGGGTAGAATGTCATTGATAGCATGTTCAGCCAATAATAAACCCCCTGACACATCATTGTTGCCAATTTCTTGTGAAAACACATGCTCTGAGTTACTTTTAACACCATTGGAAGCTCCATTTGAGGTGAACTCATGATTATCAGCAGCAACTAAGGGTTTCTGCTCTTCAGGAAATACATTATTCAGTGCAACAATGGGTTTCTGCTCTTCAGGAAATACATTATTCAGTGCAACAATGGGTTTCTGCTCTTCAGCACAACTAAAATTTTTTTCTTCCAAATTTTCATTCTTGAAGTCAGAAACTACTTCATTCCTGAATTCAGTTGTGCCAACATCAGAAGCAGATAATAGACTCCTTGACACTTCATTGTCAATGATTTCTTGTAAAACCACATGCTCAGCATTAATTTTAACACCATTACTTGTGTTGGAAGCTCCATTTGAGGTGCACTCTGGATTATCAGCAGCAAAAATAGGCTTCTGCTCTTCAGGAAAGACGTTATTCAAGGCAACAGTGGGTTTCTGCTCTTCAGGAAAGACATTATGCAATGCAATAGTGGGTTTCTGCTCTTCAGGAAAGACATTATTCAATGCAATAGTGGGTTTCTGCTCTTCAGCACAGCTAATTTTTTCTCCCAAATTTTCAGTCTTCAAGTCAGAAACTACTTCGCAACTAAAATTACTTACGTCACCTTCAGAAGCCTCAACATCAGGTAATTGAACTGGCTCACCAACAGGGTTTTGCTCAGCTATTGATTTCTGCCCAACATCCTGGTTAAGTTTACCCTCCATGACATCAACACTTTTTAGAATATCATTTTCAGAATAGACTTTCTTACTTTCACTTGTTTCGTGGTCAAAATCTTTGACTGCTCTCTCAGGATGCTTATGCGGAGGTAAAGCATCAGGAGCAGCTAGAACATAGACATCTGCATTAGCTCCAGATTTTAGGCCATGATCCACTGTCACATCACTTAACTTGGCTGAGCCTCCACTTGCAGGATCAATAACTTCAACTGGTTGCCCTGCTGCCTGAGAGCATTCAACATTGTTTTCAGAACCAGTAATTTTCATCACTACCGATTTTGCTAATTCACCATCGGAGACAGGACCTAGAACTCCTTTATCCATATCTCCCAAAACAGAAACATCTTCTGATGCTTCCTCAGTTGTTTCATTATATGAGGTTCTAGGTTCTGACTTCCCCTTACTCAAAACAATTTCATCAGCTGCCTCATCTTCACTCTCATTTTCTATAGTGATTAAAGCTGAGGCTGGAGCTGGACCAGAGGTGAAACTGGGGATTTGATCCTGAGATAGAATACCAGCTTCTATTCTATCATTGTCACCTTCCAAATTCTGAACAGGTTGAACTTGATCCTGATTGTCATTGAGATGTGTGCTGGGGGCTCCTAATTTATCTGCATTTGAAAACGTGATAAGCAATAATATTTCAAAAGGAAGAACACACACACACGATTAATTTTGAAAAAACTGAAGGAAAACAACCAGCCACAATCAGTTCACAACAGACCAAGATAAAAGAATGTACTGGTAATTTCTACACGTCTAGCACTTAGCACATATCACTAAACTTATGTGATCTCAATCAGAATATCAAGTTCGGGAACTTTTTTATATCTGATGAAATTATGTTTACAGAAATCATATGGATATCCTATGAAATTATTTTTATACCCAAAATCCTCATCTGCTACCAGAAAACATTAGAAGACCTCCCGAAAACGTCACATGTGATTCACTGTAATCTCTTAAGCAACCAGAAACATTATAAACAATTATGGGAGATGATAAAGCCATTTTCGACCTCCTGCATAACGGCATAAATAATTAAATAAAACTTCAGCAAAGAAGAGAATATATCAACGCTAACATACATATTATAAATTCTTGTAGTTTGGTTTAGCATGTATTCCATGTGCAGACAAACTATAACACTAGCTGTTTGTTAACGTAAAGCTTATCACAGCCAAAATAATGTATTATCGCCTTTATGTCACTCACAAAATTGCAAGAGTGCAAGGCAGATATGGCACATCAAAGTAGGCTTCCTAGCTTCCTCACAGTCAAGTGAAAGAACAGACAGTGGCAGATAACAGTATAACACACACAAATGAAGCAAAAAGAAAGCCACCAGCCCAGTAGTGGGAGGAAAAAATTAAGATTTTTTTTATTTTAAATCAGATGTAAGACCCAGTGGCTACTATGTTTTGCTCATAACAGCTACTTATAGAGGAAAAAAATATATCTATATAATATTAGCAAAGATTTGTACTACTTTGAATCAATATCTGTTTAATTTTCGACTTTGAATTTCAGGGCTTGATGATGGAGCCACATTGCACAAATAACATCCTTGCTGTGAGGTAACAACTTGACTTAGCTCATTCAATATAAACCTATCTGACTACCTATATTTCGTAACTTCTGAAGTTAATAAGCTCAGATGGCATTAAAAGATTCTAACTTCTAAGCAACAACATAAACCATCTAGGTACACATCCTCGGGACTACTTCAATCCTAAACTACTGACACAAAAACCCATACAAACTTATGGCACAAACAAGTTTTACTTGAATAAAATAAACAAATTACAATTTCTTATGCACACTCACCAGCTCAAACTTAAGATAAACATTCAGCTACTTCAATAGCTACAAAACAAACAAAAACTCGATAAAACATGGTAACAATAGAAGAAATTATCTCACCAGCATCAGCCTTCTCTGCAGCATGCTTAATATCATCCAAATCATTCTGAGTTACACGTTGCATCGAATAAAACCGCTGTATACCATCGGAGGCCTCTCCAGGACTTGGAGTGTCAGCAAATTCTGTGACAGCATCAGTAAACACTTCATCTTCCGATCTGGTCGACCTACTTGATCTATTACCAACTCCACTGCTAGTCCTCCTGTTTATAGTAGTCTCCACAACTTTACCACCTACCAAATATTCAATCAAAAACCCACTTCAAAACCATCATTCATACAACATTTATCAAGCAATTAACGCGAAATAAAATCGATTATTACTTGGGGTTTTGTGTTCATCATCAGAAGCATGTTCACCATCAGAACCAACCATCAAATGGGTCTTGTCTTGTGCATCATTATCCAGCCTATAGCCTTCAACTGTTCCACAAACCTTCTTATGAGCCCTCCTGTGCTTAGCACTAGGGTGTGGCTTTGGAAACGGCCATCCACATTTAGTACAAACATGAACTCCTCCACTATGCCCTTCATACCCTTTTGACCAAACATCAAATCAAAAACAGCAAAATCAAATTTTTTTTTTTATTTTTGCCTTTCATTTAGACATTTCATCAAACACTTGGCAGGCAACACACAAAAACGAAATTTATCCACAGAATACCAATTAATCAACATAACCATATTCAATAATTCCAAAATTCATTAACTATTAAAACCAGAAAACTCCAAACACAAAACCCACAAAAAAATCTGTACAAAACATCACATTTTACAGCAGGAAGAACAAAAAAGATAGATTTTAATAACAACCCAGAAAAAAAGAAAGAAAATTTAAACGACCCAGATAACAAACCTGATTGTTTAGGCTTTTTGTGATCTTGGGTTTCCATCAATCCGACCAGAAGAAGAAAATGATAGAAATTGAAAGAGGGAAAAAAAGGACAAAGAGGAGAGAGAAAGAGGAATGAATAAGAAATGAAAATTGGGAGTATTTTTGCAGTCGTTTTCAGTTAGATGGGTTGAGTGAGGTGTGGAAGTAACTGAGTTGAGTGAAGAACGAGTGAACGAGTCGAGTTGAAGTGAGTGTGGTGTGAAGTGAGGAAGAAAGTGAGAGAAAATGACAAGAAGAGATAATCCAGTACACCATGTGCGGTGATGTTATGGTAGGCCCGTTTTCTCTCAAATGGGTCGAATGGAATACAATGCAATATATCAAAAAATTGAATCCTATGATAATATTATAGTTTGGTGTATTTAATTACACCGTAATTTCATACTTAGGGTCTGTTCTCTTCGATATAATTTTAATTCAGTTCAGTTCAGCTCAGCTTCAATTAGTTCATTTCACGTTAGTTTAGTTTCTAATTTCTTTCTCTCATAAACAATTCAGTTCAGCTCAATTCAGCTCACCTCCAATCAGTTCAGTTTAGTTCAGTTCAGTTCAGCTCAGCTCATCTCATCTCAGCTCAGTTCAGTAAATCAGAACAGACCCTTAATACGGAGAATAATGAATTAATGATGTATAGGATTAGATATGGACATGGGTTGGACCGATACAAGGGTCACTTAGGCACGACACGAGAACAATGTCAACAATCCATTCCAGCACAAGCCTAATACGATACAAAAAGACACGCCGATTGGCAATGAATCTTGCATGGATATCGGTTTCAAAGTTTATCATCATTGTGGCATACTTTACTTAATTTTTGGCATTTCTCTTTGTGATTAGAACACTTAAAATTGAGTTTAAGGTATGAGCACAAAGTACTTTGTATGAGAAGTGAAAACATATTTCTAACAAGCAATACTAGGACTCGAACTTTAAAATTTTGTCCAATCATTAAGTAAACTTCCATCACTAGACCATACTATGCATATACGGAGTAGAAAATTACAAAGTGCATTGCTATACATAAGCGTTAAAAATTTATCTAATTAATCTAAAATAAATTGATATAACTCAATCTTAAATTTAAATTGTATGAGCACGATTATTTAACATGACTCTATTATTCAATTTGAACTGAACTCGACCAAAGACCCAAACGACTAAAGTAACATTTCGTATTGGCTAAACCAGAGTTATACGTGGCTCACGGACTTACATTAGAGTATACAATTATACATGACCTCTAGTTTGTCCTATTCACATGCTTTATGAAGTTTTCTTTTTGGTGAGGCTCCACATCTCGTGGTAGCTCAATAAACACTTCCCTAAATCAACGGCTAATATATTTTACAAATTATATTACTATTATGATTATGATATAATATATCCATTAATTATGGTTTAATACATTATTAAGATATATAATACGAGTAATTTTGTTTATCTGGTGCACCGCACACGTGCTTAGTCCTACTAACGTGCACCAAGCAGCTGATTAATTTGTTAGTTGTTAAAATTAAATTTGAAGGAATTCTCCCTAAATATTTGGCATAATATAGGCTGCATATTGCATGGATTTTCACGTGTGTTGCATTCTCAAACATTTGATTGGTTCATGACTCAATCCTACAATTTTCAATGAACATTAATGTCTTACATGTTCGATCAATTCAATAAAATATACATGTATTTTCTGCTATAATGGCTTAAAATTGACCAATAAAAATAAAAACGATCTTGCTAACGAGCGTCCCGGGGCGTTAGATAAGGATAAATTATATTGGTTGAAATGGTATTAAGTTAGGAATTCATGACAAAATCACGCGTCGTTCGGTGTAATTAATGTTAATTTTACTCTAATATTTGCATTTTAATTATCTTATCTAACGCCCCAGGGGCGCTCATTAGCTTTTGCCAAATAAAAATAAACTAACATGACGTAAACAATTCCAAAGTAAAAAAGCATGTATAATGCAAATGCACAAATCAGAAAAAATGACTATAAATAAAACGTGATTTTAGTGCGCGCGTAATGTAGATACTACAAATAGTATTTCTCTCCTCTCCTGGTTTCAGGAGATTTGTGGCTTTCTAAAAAAAAAAAAAGGGTAAGTTTATTTAAGTTTATAGACTTAATTAATCTAAGGGTGTGTTCGTAATCTTAATGAAAGACAGAAAGAGTGACCCAAGTAGTTAATTCTATTTTATTTCAGCCCCAAATTATCTATTAGCAGTTGAGCTGGTGAGCAAGACAGTTCAAATAACAACATCCAAACTCCAAATTTACAAATCATAAGTATGTATCAACTATCCAATAGTAACGAGAAGCGTTGATTGGCCCATTTTACTGAAAGTGGCAGGAATTTCTCGTTACATTTGTCAAGATAAGATGGAGGAAAATAATTAATTATACTACTTCATAAATTAATGATGATGCTATATTATCCACTGTGATTATGCCGCGTGTATGATTGTTATAGATTGCATCATGTATAGAAGATGAGATCATTAGTGAATTAGGTTTTGTTTCGGGTGAAAACAATGGGACCTTGTCGAAGGTCCGATGAAGTGGAGAAGACTAGATTCGATCCAAGTAATGTTGGGCCGAAGGTTTCCTGCACAGTAAACACACGTAAACTAGCCTCGGGGGTGTTGCCGAGGAAGGCCCCTCCGATGCTAAAGTCAGTACAGTGTGTAGAAACAGAACACTATGCAAGAGAATTAATTGCTTGAGGCTTTGCTTGAATGAATGAACAAATGTAATATTGATGGCTTTTATACCTTTGCATACATGGAGAAGTTGGGCCTTAGCCCAATTGGCTTGCCTTGAGGACTGATCTTTGACTTTAGCACAATTGGAGAGATGAACCTTGACCTTGGGCTTTTAATTGGATCATTTAATGCCTAGACCCAATTGGACTAAATTGGACCCAAACAACTTGCCCCCCAGACCCGATTTGGAAGGATGACGGGTCGGGTTTGATTTAATCAGAAAAGGAGGGAAGTGAATGATTTAATTAATCCAAAAATTTGAATTTAAACCGTAATTAAACCGTAATTAATGAGATAACAACAGTTAAGGCGGATAATTGTGGAAGTTGGACGGATAATGGGCAGTTTAATCGCAAGGTCGTGTGTTTAACGGTTACTTAGTGGGGTATTTAAGAGAAATTGAAACGCGGACTCCCCGTATTCCCATTTCTGGAGATATAATTAGAGGCGCGTCATCTCTCCTCACTTATTCACCAACACAAACCCAGAATTCTCGAGAGAACCCAAGAACCCGCATCAAAACTTCGCAAATTCCCCGAGCATTAAGCTTAGAAGCTGAGACTCGCCACTACCAATTCGTAAATCGGCAACTTTCGCTTCAGATTAAGGTAAATTCCTTTGATTTTAGTTTATTTTTCTTCGAATTTGAACTCCTTCCCTTTTTTTCGACTTTTTTCTTCGAAATTATCAATGGCGAGAGGAGTTAGGGGTAGAGCCCGTGCTCCAAGAAGAGCAAGGCCAATTCCCAATCCCAAGAACAGGATTGGGACCTGGAATGGACAAAGAGCAGAGTCTGACCCTGCTGAAGGGATTAGGGCGACTCCAATTTCCTCGGCTCCTCCTCAGAGAACGGAGGGGCCGAGCGCTTCTGGGCGGGACGATGAAGTTCCCGCTGTCCTTTGGGATATCCTTCCCGGGTTTTCAGAGTGGGAGGATGCCGAAGTAGCTTCGACTATGATAAAGAACCGCCCCTACTCATGGTGGGTGGAGAATGCCGAACAATATCGGTTTGCCGAACAAATTGAGTTGCATTACGGCATCCTTGAAGCTGATGGGTATTGGTGTCGAATGCCCGTGGCATCCGATAGAATCCATCGTCCACCCCCGGGGTACGTGGGGGTGTACACAAGACAACATCAGTATGGGCTGAGGTTCCCTTTGGACGTATTCGTCCGAAACTTGCTGATCCATTACAATATTTCCCTATGTCAGCTAACTCCTATTAGCATCCGAAGGGTGATGACATACTTATGGGTCTGCAAGTTCTTCAAGTATGTGCCGAACCTGCACTGCTTCAAAAAGCTTCATCGGCTAGTGCCAAATATTCAAAGTGGGCACGGAAGTCATGGTTCTGGGTGGTACCGGATTGAGTCTCGGCCCCAGTACCTAACCATGTGGCCGAACGACTCTTCAGACAAGGACTGGAGAGGTCAATGGATTTGGGTTAGGGCACCCACGGACCCGGGCCACCCTTGCGTCTTCAGCGCTCCCCGGTACCTTGCTGAGCCTGATCCCGACATGGGAAGTTTAGGTCCCCCCGCAGATAACGGCCCAGATCCAAACCTTAATCAACAGAATATCTTCGGCAAGCTGCCGAACCGGGGGGGCAGCGGTCGAATGCAGCATATCCCGGAGACTTGGCTCCCCGATACACATTATGTTTTCCAAGAGAACATGCTAGCAGCTGTCGGCCTCAGCCGAAAGTTTAAGGATGGTAAGCTTCTTCGGCTGGGGCCGAGGCCTTTTAATTATCTCTTTTTCTCCTCTCACTTCGCTTTTTTATGCTGTGCCAACCTAACTGAACTGACCTTTCCCCTTTTCTTTTTCAGAGCGGGACGAGACCAACGTCGGCATTAACTACGCTCGTCTTGGCGTCAACCGAGAACGAGTTGTAACTGATCGGGCCCCCTCTATCACTGAACCGCGGCATAGAGAAGTTCATCTAGACTCTTCCTACTTCCAAATTGAGGCTGTTGCTCTGTATCAGAGGCAGAAGCCTTGGTGGAAGAAGAGAGATCCCTGGTTTCAGCTGCTGGACGAAGAAGCTGAAGCTGCCCGTACGGCCGAAGAGGTTGCACGGGTTATTGAAGCTTGTGAAGGAGGAGAAGGGTCCTCCAGGGCTGCTGAAGAAGAAGCTGCAGCTAGGGCAGCTGAAGAAGACGAGGCTTTGCTGAAGACCTCGGTGAGCTTTCAGACTTAATTTTATCTGTTTCTGTTTGTTGTTTTGTTTTTTATTTTTTTTATTTACTCACATTCTTCCACCCCCCCTGTATTTTACAGTCTGAAGAGAGTAATAGACACAGAGAAGGGAAAGCCCCTGTTCGTCCCGAAGACCAGATACAAGAAGAGTCCTCAGACTCAGACATGGACGAGCAGCCGCTTCAGAAAAGGCGCCGAAGAATGGCCATCATCGGCCCCCATGACTTTCAGCGGAGGCCGATGACCATCGGCGTCGAAATAAGGGAACCCGAGGAAGGCAATGGATCGCCGAGGGTTCCCC